ATCCGATGAGAACGACGGTAGGGGTTCTCACTCATTTTGTTCAGCTTTTCCAAGGAATGCATTTGAGGGGTGTCATCATCGATCCAAGCACATTCCAAGAATTATAGACTTAAGAGTTCAAGCAGGAGGCCTAGCTTCCAGCTCCTGTCACCAAGCATCTCCAGAAAAATTCCTTCTACTCTGGGTCAACCCTGCATACCACTGGCAAAAGGTAGAATGACGACCTCTTAGGCCATCGATTCTTTCCACCACCATTGTGCACTCAGGTCAGAAGACAGCTCACCACTTGTGTGTGTCCTAGATTATAGGACAATTCCCGTCACATCCTGAAGGTTCTGCCAGCACCTTAGCTATCTAGGTAAGCACAGTCTTCCTCCATTAGTGCAAGGCCAGTGCCCATTCAACTTGCCACTTGACCTGAGAGGTGTTGAGAGAAAACAGAAACCATTCAGAAAGGTAGCCAGGAACACGATGTCTAACAAAGGTTACTCTGGGGATATTGTCATTGGCCATCATTAGCTCTATCCCAGCGATATGAATTTAGATGTGTGTAACAGTGCCATCAAGGGCCAGGTGTGACACCAAACGCGGGACCAAACAGCCCAGCCACTAGCTAAAGAAGCTCTGCTTCACAGAGACATGCTCACTTTCAGTGAAATCACTGGGCATAAGGCCAGTCTCTGAGAAGCTGCCACCTGTCTGATGTTTAATACGTGTGGTCACAGGGGAAGTTCTCCCTTGGACTACCACAAAGGAGAGGATGCTGTGCTGGACCTCAGATCCGATGAGAACGACGGTAGGAGTTCTCACTCATTTTGTTCAGCTTTTCCAAGGAATGCATTTGAGGGGTGTCATCATCGATCCAGCACACCTGAGGAGGCTGCACACCTTTGGAATGTAAGGTGGCCCCCTGCCAGAGGAGCCCAGGTCAATATATGCCTACAGCAGCTAAGAGGGTGCAGACACTAACAGGTAGACAGAGAGAGTCCTTCCACACTTGGATGAAAGACTCACATGTCAATGGGAGAGGTGGAATCACCACCTGTCGGGCAGTTCTGCTAACTGCCAATAACCAAATTAATCCTCAGGGAAGAGAGAACCTACCCTGTGACTATCCAGGGTTACTGTGCGCTCCCCTCCACTTCTTCCATGGACAACACTGCACTTCCAGTGATGAGAGGAGTGAGGTCTTCCACCTTGTGAGGAAGAACAGCATCCTCTATGCCAACTGCACCTGAGAGGTGTGGAGAGATCACAGCCACGCTTCAGAAAGGCATCCAGGAACATGATGTGTATCAAAGGTTACCCTGCGGCCTGATGCCCTCTGCTGTCAATGGCTCGTCCCTAAGCTATGACATATGGATTCTTTGATCACGTCTCCTGAAACTAGTTTTGTGGGGACCTCTCAATGCACCTCCAGTTGTGACCACTATACCAAGGACATTGATTGACATCACTGGCCTAATTCTGAGGTAAAAATCCAGGCCTGAAGCCCACAGAATGTGAGTTATTGGACAGCTGGCTGGTATGTGCATGTGTGCGTCAAGGGTCAGCTCTGCCTCTCGCCTATGGCCCCACCTCAAACTCAGTGCTGGACCTCAGATCCGATGAGAACGACGGTAGGGGTTCTCACTCATTTTGTTCAGCTTTTCCAAGGAATGCATTTGAGGGGTGTCATCATCGATCCCAGCACATTTGAGAAGGCTTCAGACTCTCAGAATTCTAGGGAGTGGGCTAGCCAGCCAATCCAGGAGCTAAGGCCTCCAGAAGACTGCAGGTACAGAGCCCTTCTCCCTAACAGGTGAGATTCTGTCCACCAAAGCAATCCCCACTGACACTGGGGAAGGGGCAGATGAGCCCCCCCAGGCAGTTCTGGGGGCACCCATCCCGATTTGCATCAGGCAAGGGGAGCTTACCACATGTCAGCATCTACGAGAAGGTGGACCCCCAGTGACGCTCCCCTGCACTCGGCCGCACTTGCTGTCGCTCACAGCAATAAGGTTTTCCTCCCTCTGTGCACTGTAGCCATTTCTCCACAGCACCTGCACCTGCAAGGTGTGGAGAGAAAACACACACCTTCAGAAGGCTCTCAGAAGATGTTGTGTACCAAATGTTTGCCCATGGCCAAATGCTCTCTCCACTCCTCAGCTCTGTCCCTGAGCCATGACCAGAGATTTGTGTGGCAGTGCCGTGGAGGACCAAGGCATCGCACCACAACACCGGCACAGCAGGGAGTGGTGTGAGGCTCTGCATCACAGGCTCATGTTCACTTCTGACAGGACTGGACATAAGGCCACAGTCTCTGACTTGCTGCACCCCAGATGGTGGCTGCATGTCTGTGGTAACAAAGGGAGCTCTCCCTCTCGCTAAATTCCTGATTGGGACAGCGTGCTGGACCTCAGATCCGATGAGAACGACGGTAGGGGTTCTC